AAGTCTGGGTCTTGGATCCCCCAGCCATTAACTGTCTTAATCCCCATACTCCCCCCCCCCCCTCGGCGTGCACCCTAAACCCGAAACCTTAGGCAAGGAATCCTGAACCCTGGGCCCAAAACCGGCGAACCCTCAGCCCATAAACCCCAAATAGAACATAAGATAATATAGTAAATTTTCATCTCACATAATATTTACTACAGTCTAACATTGCTTGATTTCAACTCTCATTATGGTTCAATAAAGCTTGCCCTAAGGCTCCGGGACCTTCGTAGTGAGATCCCAAACCTTAGTCTCGAAAGCCCAAAGCCTCCGCCAGAAAGCCCATGACCCCTGTAGGAGCCTTAAGGTGATCCCAAAACTGATTAACTCGAATTATAGTTCAAGAAAGCTTGTTCCCCCTTAAACCCTAAACCCTAAATCCTAAGCCCTAAACCCTAAATCCTAAACCCTATACCCTGAACCCTAAACCCAAAACACCAAACCCTCAACCCAAAACACCAAGACGCCTCGCGAAGCGCCAGCCCGAGACTGCGGGGAGCCTCGCAGGCCGCCGGCAGCGCCTCTCGCGGGCGAAACTCGGGGGCTCTTCTTGTGGAGTAATGTAGGAACCTTTGGTTTAGGGTTTAGGGTTTCTGGTTAAGAGAGCCCAATACCCCTTAATTAAGGAATATACCTTAAAATATAAGGGGATTCATATTATGATTTAAGGTATATTCCCTGATTAAGGGATATTGGAGTCTCTGGGCAATGTAGGAACCTGATTAAGAAACCCTGGGCCTATAACCCCAAAATAGTAGGATTCGTAAGAGGAGCCCGAATAAAGGCCCAAGGTTTCTTAATCAGTTTCCTACATTAAGATGTTGAGTTTTCTGATTTAGGGTTAAAAGTTTACGGGTTGAGTTTTCGGGTTTAAGGATGAGGCCTTGGGATTCAGAGTTTAAGCTTGAGAGTTATGGGTTTGGGGTTGATCGTTTAAAGCTTAGGCTAAAGGATTTGGGGTATGGTGTTGATTGAGGGTTTGGGGTTTAGTGCTTAGGGATCGTAACGTTTGGTGTGTAAGGGCTTACAGGGTTTGTACGGGGATTCTATAAAGAAGGTTATAAATAAAGGTTCTCTTAGAGCTTCTGAATCTGACCACAGAATCTTAGAATATTGTGGGATATAGTGGCCATACCGATGACGATATTGACATGTGTGTGCTGGGCTTGATGGGTTGATTGGGTGGTAGATAGATAGATAGATAGATAGATCGGTAGATAGATAGTGTAGCAGTGTAACAGTTGAACCATCTGTCTTGAGGTGTAGGCCTCGCAAGCGCAGTACTGACTCTGCCGGGTCTTGTCCAGCTCTAACGATGGCGAGTTGTGCAAGCTTTGTGCTAAGAAGTGTGTTGATTCTTAGGAATGTAACTTGCTCAAGACGTATGGAACGAAAGTCTTACATCAGCTGTACCCAAGGGGTCCTATGTACCGATGTAGAAGAATGTAGGGTTTCCATATTAAGAATTACTACTATGACTTAGGGAAATATCCCCCATACCAGTACATAGGACCCTTTGAATCAGGAACCTGAACTTGTGTTAGAGTTTATAAAGGATCTAGTCGGGCAACCCAGCCCTTGCTCGCCTCCCAGCGCCCGCGCCACCTCTCCGCAGCAAAGCGCAGCGGTGCCCTGCGCCGGTAGTAGAAAGTCAAGCTTAGGGTGATAGGGTACAGCCCGATTATCGGGTCTAAGGACGGTGAGACGCTGTACAAAAGGTGCTTTGGGAGGAAGCTGAAGAAAACTGGGTTCTTAAGAAGGCATCGACTTGAAGTTACCAGAATAGGGATCTACGGTACATATTATGGTAACTTAAAGCAGCCACAGCAAATATTTGGCTGCAGCCTGGGGGACCGAGGGGTTAGGGGGCTGTATCTGCAGCCTGGAGTGGAAGGCAGTTTGACGTTGTCTGCGCTGCCGTACTTGTTTACAGCGTCGGTCCACTGCCCTTAGCTGCCCACCCCATAAGCCCCACAACCTGAAGACCGTTTCACCACCCTAGGACCCTATAACAAAAACCATAAACAGGTTCTACAGTTCAGGGTTGAGTTGAAACACGTCACAAACATACACACCAAACAAGACTGAAAGCATAGTGCCTGGACCCTGACCAAATCCACGGAGCCTTCGAGTTACAGCAACAACAGCCGCAAGCCAAGAACCCTCTTTGTCCTCCACATAAAGGAGGTTCGGGGGCTAATGGCTTTTGGGCTCTTATGTTTCAGGTTCTACCGACTAGTCGTTAGACTTAGTAGAACAAGGATACCATCGACCATCATCATTACTATCACGGCTTTGAGGGTGATAACGGCTAGATACATCATCAACATCATGCCGAAGGCAGTAAAGACACAAGAAAAAGACACACTTAGTTTGGAAATAAGAATAACAATGGTCGTAGTAATAATGATAACTACAATAACCGCAATACCGGACACAATCATGCATGACAGTACGAAAAATAAGAACAGACAATCAGTAAATATTAAATATGCACTGCCGACGAAAGATACCAAGCAAAGAAACAAACACACAAGCAAGCAAGCAAGCAATCATACGAATACGCAGGAGAGCATGAAGTTAATAACAATGATAACAGCACAACAGTATTAAGTATTCACAATAGTCATGGCAACAACATTAACAATAACAACAACCAGCGCATCTACCAAGCTCATACAACTAAAACATGTGCACACGAACAGAACTAACAATGCCGGCAATAGTAGATTGTAGAGACGGGGACCGTAACACACAACGCCACGGGCGTCTTTACGTCGAACAGCACAAACATGCATGAAGTCCGATAGATCCCCAACAGGAACACCCCAGGCCTCTCTCTTGGGCGTAGAAGATCCAGTCTGCCACGCAGAGCGTCTGCCCTTGAAGGTGAAGACTGTTTCTATTCAGATTCAATCCCAATGGGTCCTATGTACCGACAAAGTAGAATGCAGGGTTTCCAGATGAGGAATTGCTATTAATTATGACTTAGGGCCAGGACATATAGGACCCTTTGGGTCTACTGAGATTCAAAGGGGGCTACGTGGGGTCTTGGAGCGCTATATGGGCTTTCTACAAGGATAATCGGGATTCAAAGGGTGCTATGTAGGGTCTGGTAGGGCGATATGGGGTTTCTAGAAGATGGTGCTAACAGCGATAAGGGTTAAAACCGATGTTCTTAAAGGCTTGATTTTCGACTGGTGTTTAAGGATCGGTAGAGGCATTAACACCTTCTGAGGGTTTTGGTTTCAGGTGCATGCTTGAATGGCAGGTGGTGGGTTCAAAACCATTGTCGCCACTACACTTGCAGGCTCAGCTGGAAGTGTCGACGGCGCAGAAATTAAAGTCCTGTGTTTGTACTTACTCTGCTCTATATGAAGCAGTATAGCCCACCAACTCTGCCACAATCTTTCCGGCCTTTGCTAACGTACCACTTCTCGGATCTGCTCATTGGGTTTCTCGTTGGTTGAGGATTGTAGGTCTAAGCTTTAGGACTTAGGGGGTTTAGGCTTTCAGGTTTTGCATACGGGGGTTTCCGAAAACAGGGGACCCTAATATAGTACCCTAAATAGTAGGATTCCTATTATAAGGACCCCCAAATAAGGTACCCCTAATTTTCAGCGGCTCCGACCCCCAGTCATGCAACAACTTCGAAGGCTGACACCCAAGGTGCCTAGGCTTGCAAACCCTGCGAATAACATATATATGCGTTTCGTACATATGTTGCCCGGCGCGCGCTTGTTGTAAGGAAGGAGAGAATCAACAGCTCTTCGGCTCCAAGGCGGCCCCGGCAGAAACGCTTGGGATCCAACACCAATCGGCTTTGAAAAGTAGTAATGCTCGAGCGCATATTCTACAACACTTTCATCAGGACGACTCGATTGCACGGGAGACTATAAGGCATACCACATATTGCTATCACTCGAAGCCCTGAAACCCATCCACTCTCTACTGAAAGGGCCCTGCATAAACCGTGAACGCTCTTTACAACACACGGTGAACAAAGCTTAAACCAACTCTTGCATAATCCATGTACAACCCTCGGATGGTGCCCCGGACGAACTACACCCTGAACAGCCAAACTAATCAGGGGTTTGCACGCGAACCCTCTGACAATGCTGTAACCCTCCATAAACCTGTTCTGCTGCAACCAACTTCAAAATCCAAAAAGCTGCCCTCGACACCTTCAATTTCATTTGCTGTAACCCTGGACACGGCATAAGAATCATTAGAATAGGGTGTTTGGTGGTTCCTTATTAACAACTAAGGTATAATATACCCCAAACCCTATCTCTTGCAAATTCTTAAGGCCAATGTATTAAGTTAAAGACTCTCGCAAGCTACCGTCCGACCTGCCGGAGGCGGGCCGCGAGGGGGCCTCCTGCGCGCCCGCGGATTTGCTTATACTTAATGCCTTAGGGTTTAGGCTTTAGGGCTTATACGGTTTAAGGTTTTTGTTTAGCTTATACGGTTTAAGGTTTAGGTTTTAGGGCTTATAGGGTTTAAGGTTTAGGCTTTAGGGCTTATACTTAATGACTTAAGTTGCGGACTTTGATAAGCAAAGGTTTCTGTAAAAGGGTTGCTTTGAAGGAATGTGGGAATGGTTGGTGCAAGGGTTCCATGCAATACGGACTAGAATAAGGGATTGTGCTTCTAATCATTCAGGTTTCTACATAATTAGGGTCTTCGGGTTCTGGGCTTTAAGTATGGCCATTCTGGGACTTCGGAATTGTTTGAAGGAGGCCTTGAGATCAGTAAGTATTGTGACCTCTTGCGTGCTCCACCTGGAGCTTCAGCTAGTGCCTCTGCTGGGTTCTGGCCATAAAAACTGCACGATCAAAGGGAGAGCATAGCTGTCGAGCCGTGGATGGTCCAGGCTGCATTGTTTTCTGGACAACCAATGCTGAAGGCAATGATAGATCAGATTGCTTTCCAAGGGCCAGTCCCAAACCTTTGCTTTACTTCCTCCCGTGCACGACGAAATGAAGCAATCTCATGTGCTCGACGTCGCACCACTTCATCTCCTGACGTACGACACGGTGCGACTGAACCAGCCAACCCGCAAGCCCTGCATGGCCTTGACTTCCTGCGCAAATGAACGCGATGGCCCGGCTGCCACCAGCATTAACAAGATCTTTGCCAGCCTGAGACTGCAGGAGTAAGTCTACCATTTGGTCATACCCACGGAGTGCTGCGGAGACGAGGGCCTGAAGCCCAGCAGGACCTGCAGCATTCGGAAGTCCATTGTCCAACAATACTCGTGCTGACGCTACGTGTCCACGATCAACAGCACTCAAAAATGCTAGGGTGTCGTCAGTGTGTTGGCGGCTTGTGCCCCCCCCTACCTGCAAGAGCTTTCGGAGTATTTCCACATGACCTTTCGCTGAAGTGCAGCTCACGGCGACACATCTTGCATAGTCTGGCACGTCTTGGCCGCCTCTCACCTCCAGTAGGAGCTGTAGGGTCTGCATTCGGCCCATAATGGATGCGGCAGCAATGGCGGTTATCAGATCTGGACCACTAATGGAGGCATCCCAAGCATCAAGGAGCAACTCTACGATTGCCGAGTGGCCCTGCGCGGATGCACACACAGCAGCAGTAAGGCCTACATCACTTTCCAATGCAGGGGCAGCCCCGGCTTGGAGCAGCAAACGCACAACTTCCACATGGCCTGCGCCAGATGTCCAACCCAATGCCGTCATGCCGACATTGTCTTGCACATTCAAGTCAGCTTCTGCCTCCACCAGCACGCGGGCAGCTTCTAGGTTGTTTAGGAAGCATGCGCAAACAAGAGCCGTCCTTCCACGTTGCTGTTGCTGGTTGACCTGTGCTCGGGCCTCTAGAAGCAAGCGCAGAATGTCTACATGGGCTTGCTCAGCTGCGCGGATAAGAGCTGTCGCGCGTTCTTCGTTTTGGTATATATCCACGTCGGCCCCTAGCTCCAAGAGCGCACGAGCAGTGTCCAAGTGACCGCTCTCACATGCCCACATGAGAGCGGTGCCTCCTTGAAATGTATCACAAGGGTAACCGAGCTTATTTATGTCGGCCGCGGCCTCGGCCAATAGCCGGACAATGTCTGTGTGGCCTCTCTCGGCTGCAACAACGACAGGCAAAATCGGCTCGTCTGGGCCGCTTGCGCTGCCTTCCAAACCTGGATCCTGTGGTCGCTGCAAGATTTCCTCCACCTGGGCAAGGGTCACGGCATCCTCAACCATGATGCTGATGAGCTCATCGCGCTGCTCTCTCGAAGCATTAATGAACGGAACAAAGATGAGCTGCAAATGCTGCACATCATCCAGCGGCGAAACAAGCCTGTTGTCATCCTCCAGGATGTCTCCACCAATCACAAGCTGCTGTCTGAATCGCGGCACTCCACACTTACTCTGCAACTTTTGCTTCAAGGACTTCACATTGACATCTTCCAGCTCATCCACTGGGAACTCTGCCACTATCTGTCCCGAAGGCAAACACACCTTCAGCATGTCGGGAAGAGGGTCTCTCGGGCAATTTGAGACGCAACGGCTCCCGAGGATCCAAGCACATGACCCCTGGGTAGGGTAGTAATACTAGGACCTACAGTAGGGCCCCATAGCAGTTCCTTTTTGGGGGTCATACTCAGAATCCTATAAGGTATTCCCAAACAGGAACTACTATGGGGCCTTTGAGTAGTGATATGAATTGCAGCAGTGGCATTCGACTGTGGTTTCTCTATACTCATCTTGTTCACCCTGATGTCAGCCACACCTACAGTAAACAGCCCGCCATCAGAACAAAGGTTCAGACAGGTTTCACACATTCACTTCAAAAGAGAAAGATGAGTGTCTTCCCCCCTCAACACTCGCCTCGGGCTGCAGGGCCAGGAACCTGAGCGAAGGCGGTCCGGCGAGCAACGAAGTGCCGGCCACATCCTGAGCCAGCTCCGGATTTTCAGCGATTAAGCACAGGGTTGTTTTATCGGGCCCACAAAGGGGATCCTATTCTAGAGTCCTAGAGTACCCATGCGAACCACACGGGCCATACATGGCCTTGGCCTGCGTGGCTGTGCTGGTGATGATGCCTCACAGCAAACACTCCGAACCTGTAAAGCCCGAGCCCACGAACCTACACGAGACCCCTTGCTCCCTCCACCCCCAGGACCCCATGATTTACCTTCGGTTAGTAGGGAATGGAGGAATGGGGCACAATATCTACTATTACTACCATTCTTCCATTCCCTACTAACTAAAGGTAAGATGAAACCCCCTGAGCAAAGTGCTGCCGGGAATCTGTCACCGGCCCGCCCGAGTGTAAAAGCAGCTGATCTGGTGCCCAGCCTGACCTCACATGGCAGAGCCCCAGACCTCCACCCAGCAGCCCTAAAGGGTCCGAATGCCTCATTATCACAATAATACATGTATGTATATATATATATATATATATATGTATACATATATGTGCGTGTACACACACACATGTACAATTACATATACATACATGCTGTCCTAGATACAAGTCAACCTAAATAACTACTATCCTCAACCCGAGTACGTAACTATGGTGTCCACTGGACCTAGGGCAGACCTAGGGCAGCAGTCATGATACTGAGAATGCATGACATTCACTTGCTCGCTTGCCGCGGCTTCGTCTGCAGACCACAACATACGAAAAACAGTGGCAACAGCTGAAACAAAAGCACACCCAGTCCCCAGGACTCCACTCACGCAAATAATTAGCTACTGGGTTCTCTTTTAAGTAACCTTACTGTGTATCCCTAAGCAGCTGGAACACTAGTGATTCCCTTTTGCAGGCTTATTGAATTGGCTCTGGGTCCAGATTCAACACGCTCGTTTGCTCGAGTCTTCGTATAGGTACCTAACGAGGCTGAAACCCGGGTCTCGACGCAGAGTACACCCGTAGAGAACATGCAATCTGCCAGCGCCTGCACCAAATATCTGTGTATACATACTCTCTGTGTGTGTGTATGTGTCGAAATATATACATATATATTATATGCACTTACATAATGATATATGCACATATACACGTATGTGTGTGTGTATAGAGAGAGAGAGAGAGAGAGAGAGAGAGAGAGAGAGAGAGAGAGAGAGAGAGACAGAGAGAGAGAGAGAGAGAGACACGTGTACAGCGATACGACTGAAAAGGTGCTGGACATTTCTGTAGAAAGACGGCTTCCGGTCAATTGCTCCGGAGTCTTGCATCTACCAAAACGGTTCACAAATGCGCCTTGAAATAGATATATTTTAGCTATAGATATTGCGCTGAAGCCCCGAGCCTCTGAGGGGCCGGCCCGGCACCCCACAATCCGCGCGCGGAGAGCGTCTCGGCGAGGCCGGGAAGCAAACCGTCGTCCACCTGTATGAGGGTTTTAGGTTGGGTTTAGGTATAGGGTTCAGGGGTTTAGGGGTTAAGGTTTGTCAATTTCAATTGGGTTGAAAGTTTTGGGTTTTGTGTCTAGGATTGAAGTTTTGGGTTTGGGTTTAGAGCTGGGGTTTGGGATGGAGGCTTTGTTTTATGTGTACATATCTACTCCTTTATAATCATATTGAAAGTATGACTGGGGATCTAGGGCCCGTGTTTCTGTATAGTGTTGCCGTCTGCCACCGCTGCTCTTTAGTACTCTTGCCTGTGATCACTGAATCGGCTTTTACTACGCCGACTTCGACGATATGCCTTCTTCAGCTACTGCTGCTGCTGCTGTGCTGATTCGAAAAGGACAAAAACTACTACTTCCATGACTTCGACCTGGCAATCTTGCTGGTGCTGGTGTTTGCAGGCCTTTCACGAATCACGATTGGGATGATGTCCATTATGTTGGAGAAGAACAGAACGAGGTGGACATGCAGCCAAATAATTTGGTGCTGGGGCGATCATGGCAGTGCTGATGATGATTGCTCCCTTGATGGCAGTAAGCCTATCGCATCTGAAGGTGCCAGCATGGATGTTCACGACAACATACCACAACGAAACAGGTTGAACGTCGGAACAAACCCTGTGTTCTGGACCAAGACCGACCAACAATCGATTTCTGCAAGACGAATCTACAAGATCGATCGCAAACCTGACCAATCCAAAAGCTTAGCGGCGCAAGAGGGTTTCAGGAACAGCGTCAGATCGACTTCTGAAGCTCTCGCATTGCGTCTAACGGGGTCTAACGCAAATGCCGATGCGAAACGTGTGGAAACTGCTGCACTCTCTCAAAGGGGCAAACCTGAACAGCCATCCTGAGGAACCAACACACAACGACACACACACACACACACACACGCGCGCGAAGAGACGCACACACGTCCATGCATATCTGAATGCACGGAAAATGATATTTGGTGTAATATGTACACATATATATACAAACAATATATATATATATATATATATATATATATACACACACATGTATATATATATATATATACACATACATATATACACACACACTTCTTGGTTAATTACATGCCTATGGTTGTGTGTAAAATACACCCTAGACTACTCAAAAATAATCCTATGAGAACCCTATCAGAACCTATAAAACCTTGGTACATGTTTATAGTTCTGTTCGAAGTTGTCAAACCCCCCCGGCCGGCGACGACCAGAGGCGCTGCTCGGGGGCGGTCGCTGCAGCGGCCGACACGACATCTGCAACATCGCCTCGGGCTCATGAAGTTGTGCGGTTCAAAAGTTTTTTGTTTTAAGCTCCTTTTCGATGTCCGCCAGACAGTCGGCCGACTCCAACGCCAAGAATGGTTCAAAAGTTTGGGGTTTAGGTAGGGTTTTTGAATGAGGTTGGGGATCTCTTGGTTTGATAGGGTTTTATTCCTGTGGGTATTAAGGCTTGGAAATTGTAGACAGAATTTCTGGTCTACAGAAAGACTTCTCATTCAAAAACAACCCTAAGGCCCCAATCCCTAAAGCCCTCAATCGAAAGACCTTAATTAAGACCCCACAATGCCTGAATTGTTGAGCGATCAACGTGAAAGATTCAAACTGGGAGGGGCATAAGCTGGCGCTTTGGTCTCAGCTTTGGGCTTCTTGGCCTTTGTGACCTAGCGTAGCCGGAGGGGACCCTAATCATCAGAATAGTGTTTTGGTGGCATATTACCGTATGTTAGTGTTATTCCTGCTCTATGCTTTAGAGCTTTCGATATTTGGGTCTTAGGGGGTTTAGTGCTTCAGGGTCTAGTCTAACTTCACAAAGCCTGTATGAGGGGTCCTCATGGGTGTCAGCTTAGACCAAAACACATAACGAAACCTATAACACACTCTTACAACCGACTAAAAGTTATAAGCCTTTGCACAACCCCTAAGTAGAGAAAGCTTTGAAGCTTTCAGGCCTCGGCAATTGGAGTTTCGGGCGAGATTGAGGGTTGAAGTAGAAGGGTTTTAGGGTGCATAGGTCTCCTGGATAGCCCATCGTAGAATTTATTAGCACGGCTACCTCAATGATTATAGTGTAGGCATTGTCAAGCCGCCTAAAAAAGCCGAGGTCAAGAGAGTCACTCCAAACCCAGGATGCAGGGTGATGAAGGGTGGGAGTTTTAGCGCTCTTTTATGAAGGAAAGCGGAAGCCGGCAGCGACGTTTTTGACCATCGTCTTCTGTGCTGGCCGGTCAAGTCTGGATGATGCACAAGCAATGTTAAAAGCACCAGATCGCCCTGGTTCTAGTCAGCTTTCTCGCGTGATTGAGGTTTCGGCTTCGATGATCTGCAACAGCGCCGGAGGCACATGAGCAGTAGCACGGTGACGGGGATCCAGGAGTAGATCACCACCTTCAGGGTGAGGCCCAGGCGTGCGATAAAGGCGGAGTCGTTCACCTTTGGGAAAGGGACATCGGGCACGGGCAGCTCTAGAAAGGAGCACAGCGGTTCCCAGCCCTCCGTCACAGTGAACTCAAGGAGCTTCTCTTCCGGCACAAGGGTCCGAACCATCCTGGGTTGCCGGTCCAAGGTTTAGGGTTCAGGGTAGGTAGTCTTGGGGCCTTTAAAATAACTTATGCGCAGGTACCCTTATAGGAACCATAACAGGGAATTAACAAGTTTCCCAAAGTGCCACCTGGCATCGCATTGTGTTTCTCGTACTGCGTGGCCAACCAGCCCTCACGATGCTGATCGTAGCCATAAGTGAGTTTGCAGGGCTCCAGCCACATGGTCTTCTGTCCCATCAAGCACCGAGCTGCATTGAGATCCTGGATGCTAGGAATGAAGGAGAGGAAGTTCGGGTAGAAGAGAGAGAAGGGACTGCTCTGAACACGCACGAATTCCATCAGGGTTGAGAAAGACTTTTCCCAGCCGGCTGCCTCTTTGGGGTGCAATGTGAGGATAACTTTCGCATCAGGAAACATCTTACTCTGCTCCGCGAAATACTCGCACATGGGATTGTCCATAGTTGCGTTGTAGCCATCCTTTGCAATCTTTTCGAAGACCTCGTTCACTGAGACCTTACCTTCAGAAAGTTCTCTCCACTTCTTCGCATGGGAGGGGTCTCGCATCAAAGCCTCCATGTGATACGTCTTATATCCGAGTGTTCGCAATGCCTCCTGCATGCTCATCGTACCTGTCCTTCCGAGCCCGGCGACAATCACCCGAATTTCTCCGTCTGGCTTTGTCATGCTTGACCGTCGGCGGCTGAGGATTCGTCGATGTTCGGAAGCTGCAGTTATGCCGGGCCAATCCACAATAACCGAAAGGAGCTTCACCGCGAAAAGTCTAGCAAAGACGAGTAACCATGCACGTAATCTTTGTCTAGAAGCTCTTGAATATGTATCGCAATAATCACCCTTAGCTTTTCCAGTCTGAAGCCCGCAAAACCCCAAATTATGTGCCAGGAGCTGCAGTGCGCAAACTGCTGGCCCCGACAGTGCGCTTGAGCAGAAACATCATAGAAGCCTCATATCATGCAAGCACAGCAGTATTGTAATGTTTAACGTCTTCGAATACAAGTTTCTCAGGTTTTCTTGTTGCAGAGCTCGTCATCGAAGTAATCTGGACACATGAATCAGAGGCTGCAGCTCAAAGCACTGCGTGTGACACGAGGCACTTCTGAGCAAGCCGAGAGACTCCAGCCACTTCGCCGAATGTCCTGCAATAAAACGCTGGGCCTACTAAACGCATAGGGAGCCCTGAGCGTCACAAGGCGATGATTGAGTTTCCATTCGGCCTGGGGCTTGGGGGCGGATTGGACTGAAAAGTTGACAGAACTGATGAACCATCAGTGATATGCTGCTGACAGTTTCCATGGTGGGTCCTTTTCCCGGAAACTTTGCTTTTGGCTGCAAGATCACGCTTAAGAAATTTGCTCACCAAAACGGAACTACCATGACGATGGGTGTTTCCGAACCATGCAGACTTCTTGAAGTCAACCTTCACCCTGACACCGCAATGGAGGAGCCTACAGCAGTAAGTGAGGAGGGCTCTGGGCTTTGACGAGATTTATGTACGTAAGGAATCGGCCTAGGGCCTAGGTGTTAAAGACTGTGTGTATTTTGATGTGGGATGTAGATCACTTTCCGATCACGCATTCATGAGGCTCCGCAATGCAGAACCCAAAAAAGGCACGACAATCCAGGCCCTCAGTGTAGCACTGAACCATATCATTGTCTCTACACCTCGTCTTCCAGCACGACACCTCACAGAACTTGCCCCCTTCAGCCCCCCAACGCAAGAACCTATCTTCAAACGTCAGGAACTTCGCAAGCACCCTGAAGCTTCAACTCTTTGTGGCGTAGGGTTCGGGGTTTATAGGGTTTAGGGTTTATAGGGGTAGGGTTTGGGCTTCAGGGGACGACTTGCGGACATGACCCTGCAACTTTAATGTGACTTAGCTTGAGCAATGGACCATGAACCTTCAAGCCCAAACTCTACGCCCGAAAGTCAACCTTAGCGAAACCCCCAGAAACGGTTATGAAACCTTACATGGATGCCTTGTAGACTTTCAGAAGTCGTACCAAGCACTTGAACCATTGAGAACCCTGGGCAAAAAAACCTAGTTACATGGATTACGGAATGCTACAAGTAACAGTATAGACACCTAGCTAAACCCTAACCTTCAGAGGCCTGAACTTGGGTCCTGAACCCCAAATCCTGAGAACCAAACATGGAAGCCCTATAACCGCCTTACAGAACCCCGTGAACCCTAGGTGAGGACCCACCTCTAGCGCTCGCGTGGCCGTCGACGCCAGGCGGCGCCCGGAACCCAGCGGACGCCCGTCCAGTGAAAGGAGCGACCTGTGGGGTCATAAAATCGAATCTGCGAAGGTTAACCAGGTGAATGAAGGGCTTAATACGTGGACTTATGTTTGTTTTTTTTCGCGAGCTTGTGGAGCAGTTTGAAGCCAGCGGCGCTTGATGTGTAGACGGGAGCGAGGATTGCTTGGGTTGGCGGGTTTCGATGTGAGGGCCTGCGACTTGACAGGTTTTCGTGAGTCAGCGCTGGAGGTCTAAGATCTGCAAGTTTGGGGCAAGTGGGAGTTTCCGAAAATAGGGGAGTTTGGGGCAAGTGGGAGTTTCCGAAAATAGGGGACCCTAATATAGCACCTTGAACCGTAGGATCCTTATTATAAGGAACCCTAATTTTCGGAAACTCCCATGTGGGTTTCAGGGTTTTGCGGTGTGGAGAAGGAGTCGAGGCTCCAAAGTTGCACCAGGATGCAAACACATGATAAAGACAGACTGAGTTAGGGTTTAGGGTTTAGGGTTTAGGGTTTTTTTGTTAGGGTTTAGGGTTTAGGAGTTAGGGTTTAGGGTTTGCTGTAGAATGGCGCATAAGCGGAAGTAGCTTGCGACAGTGTAATTTCGAGTGCATCGTCTTCAGGCGATTCAACGTTTGAGCCTGATTGTGGTTGGCTCTTTTTATTCACTCTCCCTCCCCACGCCGTCTACGGCGGCTAAACCACCCAAACCTATTCCTTTTAGGGTTTAGCACCTAAACTCAATCTACGGTTTTCTTTATTTCTTGGGCAAAGCAGGGCAAGGCCAGGTAGGCCAGGGGGGCCAGGAGGCCAGAGAGCCGGCCGTGGGGGTCAGGGTGGAAAGGGGGCAGCGGAAGGGGGGGGCCAGAGGCCAGGGGGGCCAGGGGCAGGGGGGGCCAGGGGGGGCCAGGGGGGGGCCAGGGGGGGCTTGCGCCATCGATGTCGAAGGGCATAAGCGCCGCCCACCATCGAAGGTGGGCGGCCTAGGCCCTGAGTTTAGGGTTTAGGGGTTTAGGGTTTAGGGTTTAGGGTTTAGGAGTTAGGGTTTAGGGTTTAGAGACTTCCCTCAGATAATAAGTGCTCAACCTTTGTTCAGGGCCAGTCACAAACGACAAGCAAACTGGGATGTGCCATGGGACGCATCTGAAACACCCCGCCCCCCCCGCTCCCCACCCGAAGACTGAAGCAGGATCCTGGACCCCTGGAATCCCTCAAAGCGGGACACGTATAACATATATATATATATATATATACATATACATATAAACAACCACATCCGAATCGATCTGAGACGTCGTTTGAATCTGGGCAAGGGGCCGCACGCCCAAGCCGCTTCCAACGACCAGCACCTGCTGCTCCGGTTTGACAAGTGCTTTTCATATGGGAGTTTCCGAAGTTCTTCGGGGGCTCGAAACCCGAAAGAACTGAGCATCCCCAGGCCATGAACCGAAAGCTTCCAAAACAGGAGCTATGTCAGAGTTTTCGAGATGGGAATACGGTGTGTATATATATATATATATATATATATGCATTTATATATATATATATATATATATATATATATATATATATTTATATATTTATATATACCTATATATATATATATATATGCACATACGGGGAGAAGTGTTCAACGTAAACTGAAAGGACTGCTCAATGTGATTTCTGCCTGAAGCCCTACACACTCAAACCTGGCCGTATCTGAACAACGTCACACCCAAGAGTTCGACTGGAGCGTGGGGTAGGGCTGACATAGGGTGGCCTCTCAAAACATGGCTGCGGGACAAAATCATCAAACAACCGGCGATCCATCTATGTAAAAATGATAAATAAAAGCTGTTGGCTTGTTCGCTTCAGGTCTTTGATGAAAATACACGGCGCCCCTTTCTCAACGTTGTCAGCCTATAAAAGACCAGAAGTCAAGTCAACCATATACTTCGTCCGGGCGCTGATACCTTCAAACAGCGGCATTAGCGCCAGAGAGACAGAAGTGACAGGGGGCATTGTTCTCAGGTCATTAAAAGTCGAAATCCGGCACCCTACTCGTAGCTAGAAATGCCGCAACCAGCGAAACCCAGAATCCGTGCCTCCTCAGCCTGCCACAGCATGTCCAGAGGGATATCTGCCTGACCAGAACGTCAGACTCTTGGGGCTTCTGTTGTAAGTTGCTAAGGAAGAAAGCTGCTCAGCATCCAGCCCTCGTTGCTAGGCTCGCAAGTTCACAGGCTCCGCAAGTTGGATATTCTCCTGCTTCAGGGCTCATCTCATATAGGAGCCGAAAAGGGTTTTGGGGTATGTTGAATCATAAGGAACGCCCCCCCCCAAAATGAAATGGTATAGGTAATTATTAAGGCCCCCCGTAGTACGTGCAACTGCAAGGGATGTGCAACTTAAAGGCTCCAACACTCCGAGCTTTCCGCGAAGGCCAGGGCTTGGGGATGTAATGTAGGGCCTTAATAGTTAGAACAGCGTTTGGGAGGAGATTTATAATATAACTATAAGGAGGAATCCCTAGAAAGCCTATTCTAATTATTAAGGCCCGTACCTTGGGCTTGCGGGGGCTTCCGGTCTGGACAGAAGAGCTTGGCAGTACCGACCACAAATCCAAAGCTCAACAGTTCAACCTCAATCCCTAAACCCTAAGACCCAAAGCCCTGCACCCTGTACCCGACGATCATTCTTAATGTTGGGTACGGTCCGCACTCAGTAATAGTTGAATAATACTCATAACATAGATATATTGGGACCTTAATGGTAGCCCTATTGTAGACTCTTACTGCATGGGGGCAGTACCTGATCTTAATATTTCATCAACAGAGAATGCACTCAAATACAGAAAACTCCTGAAGCTCCAAAAACCCTCCCTGCTGTGAGGCCTGGCGGACGCGAAAAGGCGCCAATCCTTGGATTCAATTTTCAGGTTCCATGTCGAGGGACACCAAGGCTTTAAATCGCTTGAAAGTAAGCGCTGTTTATAGACTTTTGGACATTAGATTGCAGGGTTCGTACTATTTGCATACTTGGAGCACCTTAATTCTGTTCAATGTGACGTAAGTTGCATTGGTGTTGGCGGCTGGTGGTGGGCTTGGGGTGGTGCGTGCTATGGTGTATGTGTGTGTGTGTGTGTGAGTGTGGAAGAGCTCCCCAGGCCCGAAGTGCTCTTGCAATGTTCCAGGTTCCGGCGTCGACTGATCTGTTGTCGACCTTAAAACAGTGAGAGACTTCTTCTCATCCTAAACCCTAAACCCTACATTCTAAACCCCAAGAGATCATCCTCGGTTGTACTTTACGCGGTCTCAAAGGTTAGGGGTACCTTATGGGAGTCCTCGAAATACTGCTCCTCTAGATGGGGGTTTCCGAAAATTGGGGGTACTCTTTTTTTGGGTGCGATCTTTATAATAAGGATCCTACGATTTAGGGTACTATCTTAGGGTTCCCCTATTAAGATCCTACTATTTAGGGTAGTATCTTAGGGTCCCCCTAATTTTGGAAACCCCCAAAACAGGGAGGGAGAGTTCTGCAGGCCAAGGAGCTCGGCTCCAGGAGCTCAAGAGTGACGGAATGCACAGCCCGAGCCTTTGAAGAAGGGCACACTGGGGTACCTTGTTTTGGGGTCTTTGTAACAAGGATCCTATTATTTTAGGGTACTATAGTAGGGTCCCCTACTTGCAGACTCGTTGGGAGTTGGGATTTGGAGCCTCGGATATAGCCTCAACCATGAACCCCTAAACTTAAACCCCAAACCCTGAACCCGAAGTCCAAAACTAACCATGAAATAGAAACTACGAACTATACAGACTATACACCTCAAGCTATAAACCATGAACTAACAACTTAAATCTAAAACCCCCGAAACCCTACTGTAAACCATAAGCCCTAGATCGAACCACAAATCCCAAATCCTAAACCCTGAATCCACACCCTATGAAGTACTGTGATAGTAATGGTAAGAAGAAAACTAATGCTAACTACTAAAGCCCCTTCCCGAGCCAGCCTCGGATGGAATCAGCACCTCCTCTGATCCAGGCAGCCGAACCTTCGACATATCGTTCTAGGGCTTCGGTTAAGGTCTTTGGTGTTTTGTGCCCTAAACCCTAAACCCTAAACCCTAAACCCCTAAGTGCGTTGGGTTTTACGGAGTTTTAAGCCCATGAAGTCGAAACCCAAAATACACCAAAAACCCTATAGGACCCTAAACCTGAAGAATAGCTACTACTTTTACTAAACGTTACTATTACTATTTGAGACACATCTATTGAGACCTCCTAAACTTTCACGGCACCGTAAGTTCGCCACGGTGCGGGTTTAGGGTTTAGGGATCCAGGATCATGAGGACCTGGTGACTAGTAGGGCAGTTCCGATTGCACCTAGACATCCCCGAACTGTACGCCCGCACGACGGCGCGCACACGCGACTGAGACTACTTTCTGGTCAAAAGCAAACCCTCCCAACGACAACACAAAAACAACAACAAAAAACAACAACAAAACAAAAACCTCAAAAGGATGCCCAGGAGCTGTGCATTGAACCCCAAGCTCAGCTGAGGCCCCGGCCATCGGCGTGCAGCGGTCACCATCTGCCACCAAGCCATCATGGATCAGCAGAGCTACAGCCTCGAAAGGCTGCTAGAGGAAAAGCCTGAACTGTGTACCAATGTCTCGAAACATGTGAAATAGAAGCCGAGACAATTCGACTAAAGTTTGCGGGTCCTATACACATTAGATGTGTTCATGCAGCTCTATGACACTCTTCGTTCTACTAGGTTGGCCCTTCAAAGCCTCTGAAAAATGTTCGTATAGGGTCCTATTAAGCCCAATAAGGGAAATATAAGATGTCCCAAAAGCCTACCCAGTCTAAAACCTAAAGCTCAGCAGTCTGCGTGCGGCGAGGACGCTGCCCCCGAGCTCCGCGCGGCGGCCGTGGCCTAACCGAAAATGCAATCAGTCGTAGCGCCAATAATAATTGTGTTTGTGTTGAGGGTCGTATTTTCTGGTTTACGTAGAGGCTCCATAGTACTTCCTGTTTGGGATTACCTTATAGGATCCTAAATATGAGCCACAAAAAGAACTACTTTTGAGCCTATGTGTTAGACGTCATTATACCGCTACATCTGCTTTTCCGGGGAGGATGCTTGCACCGAGCGATCAGGCAAACAACTTTTTGCGCCTTTTTTTGGTGCTTGTGGCTACATCTGGAGTTTCAGAGCCTAGCACAAATCCAGAACACGACGATCCTAGTTTTCAGAAACCCATATTGTGTCATGCGCCGTCCAGAACACGGCGGAAAGAACAAAGCCGGCTGACGCCCCGTGTCAGAAACCTAAATCCAGCATATCCCCCGAATCTTAAACCCCAAACGTTCAACCCTAAACCTCAAACCCATGGCCGTAGAACCATCCTTCCGGACTGATAGATCTCCCAGAATGTGACAACTCAACACAATCAAGGGGCCTCAATGAATGAAATAGAGTGCTATTCTACTACAGTTCAAAGTCCGTAAGGGACTCCGAGCAATGTTCACACTTTGTCCACTCCAAATCCTCATATGTGTCCCTGCACAGCCCTGGCGGTAACATCTGTCACATCATCTCTGGGTCAAACGGTCAAAAAATGAGCCAAGCCCCTGAAGCCCAGGGCGCTTTCCACCCCGAGTAATAGAGAGGCCTGGGTAAGGGTTACATACTAATATCATAATGTCCCTGCATGGTCCCGTCACGGTGATCGCATATCAAACTTTCTAGAGTACATATATGCATATGCACACATTTACATATATATATATATATATATATATATAGGTATGTATGTATGTGCAGATACATATGTATATATTTAAACGTACATATACATACATCTGTATATATACATATATGTAGATATGTATGTGTATATATATATACACACATGTATATTGTATATGTAAGATTTTTCAAGCTGCGTTATTAATCGCTTATGAAGCCGTGGGGGCCTCTGCATAAGGCGACCATGCTCCATGCTTTGCGCCGGTGTGCCTTGCTCGGCTGGGAACTTCGTGTAGGATTTGAGTGTTTCGGGTTCGAGGGTTGAGGGTTTGTGCGTTTAGGGCGTTTGTACCTGTGTTGACGGGCCTTTCTTCGAAGTACGCCAGCCTTTAGGGCTTCAGGGGTTGAGTGTTCAGGGTTTGAGAGTTTAGGGTTTTAGGGTTCAGGCTTTGAGTGTTTCGGGTTTCCGGGTTTAGAGATTGAGTGTTTAGGGTTTGAGGGTTTAGGGTTTGAGTCTTTGGGGTTTGAGGGTTTAGGAAGTTTAGGCTGTGAGGGTTTGGGCTGTGGGGGGTTTAAGGTTTCAGGAAGGTTGTGCTGTTCTGTGCCCACTATTGTGGGCTGATTTAATCCTGGTGGGACTCCTGGTTTATCGAAGCCGCCGTCGCAACAGCTGTCTCCGGTGCAATGATGCCAAGAGCAGCGCTCAAATCCAAACACTGCCGCTGCATTCTAAAGATCTTTCTTGTTTCGGGCCGGCATGTCACAGCATTTCCTTCACGGAAAGTCGACAACTTCATCAACGCTACGCGGCTTTTCGGATGTGGAGGCTAGGGTAAATATCACGCCCGCGAGAAGAAAAGACGAACTCAGGACCACAATCTGTAGTTATTCAAGCCCCTTTATCGCTCAGCTCTATCCAATGCCCAAGCGCCTTCCAAAGCACGGCGCTGCGACAGAGATGGCCTCGAACGAAGATAGAGTTCAGATTTACAGTGGGTCAAACTACCCATAGGCTCAAAAGTAGTTCCTTTTTGTGGTTCATATTCAGGATCCTATAAGGTTCTCCCCAAAACGAACCAATATGGGGCCTCTAGGTAGGCTCCATTGCTTCAGGGTTTACCGCCTGCTGCAGCTCATAATGTAGGAACCGGCCCTCGATCCCAGAACCTGACACCCTAAACCCTGACCAGATCTTCATAGGGTTCTGCATACATGCCTTGTTTTGTTATGTTGGGAACTTCGATGCAGGGGATTCTCAGAAGACCTGAGTTAACATAGAGGTCTGGATACCTAGCAAAATAATTCACAATACGAGGTCCAGGGTTCAGGGTGCATCTGCGTAATAGTCTCGATGCTTGTAGTTCTATATCCCCCGGAGTCCTCCGAAATACGGTCGCTTGAAACCAATACACCCCACGAGAATATTCCGATAAACCCCTGGGCTGAATCATAAACGCACGAATACAAAACGTGTTGTAGAGGCCTCGATAATTACAATAGGTTCTGGGGATAGTTTGTACTATAATCATAATAAGGAACCCCCAGAACTTTATTCGAATTATGAAGGCCCCTATAGTACCATTCTGCTTCCGCGGTCTCAGGCGCTTTCCAGGCGTCCCCTGGCCCAGCCGGCACGGCGCGTAAAGCAACGCTCACATCGCCTGTAGGGTTCTTAAGATTTAAGGTTTAAAGGGTTTGGGGTTTATAGGGTTATAGGGTATAGGGCATAGGGATCAGAGTGTTTCAGGTTGTAGGGTTTATGGGTTCATGGGCGGGTATGGGTTTCTGGGCTATGGGTGTAGGGTTCAATAAGCTTCAGGTACTAGGATCTGTGGGTTAAGGCTGTTAGGGTTGTCCGGCTTAGTGGTTGCAAGGCCTCTGGACTTGGGATTCAATGCTTTGCGCTATAGGTTTGCGGGCTTCGGATTCTAGGTTTTCAGCTTAAAGTTTAGAGTCTGTGGTTTGGGGATTATAGATGTTTTGGATTGAGGGTTTTGGGGTTCTGGGTTTCGTAAGTTTCGTGCACAGCAGGTTTTGCTGCTTGAGATCACGGTCAGGCTGCTGAATCTCTGGGGGGTGGGGGGGTTCTACTCGCGAGACCCCAAACTCAAAACTACAACGCCTATAGACCTTCAACCAAAAACCCGAAACCCCGAACCTAATCAAAATCCTAAAAAACCCCTCAAACCCCCAAACCTCCAAGCCTATACCCTTGGCTTTGGTAGTTTGTGCTTACCAGTTCAGAGCCGCAGTCCCATGCTGCGAGGATCCGAAAGCCTAAACCGTGCCTTCTTTCGTCAGCTGCACGCGCAGCAGGCCCGGCGCAGCGGGAGGCACCGCATGCTCACATCCTGGCATTGAGAAGAAGCGATCAATGACGTAAGACCGAGTAGTGTTGTGCTAGATAACAGTGATCTTAGGGGCAGCGGTGAAAATAGCAATGACGACAGCGAGCACCACGGCAATAGCACTGAGAATTAGGTGGATAACATGACTGGTGCAAACAGCAGCAATGCTCGCTTTTACCGACTGGAGCAACAGCCAACCTAAACCTACGCATGGAGTGGCAGTTCGTCTTGAAGCACTAGCCGCATACGCGAAGCAAAGAAACATCGTCACAACTTGAATACAAACCCAACCCCTTTTGGTGTCGGCTTTGTCAAGGTTACAACCCTTATCTTTCCTCCAAGGTGACATGAACCGAGGACGCAGGGCTTAGGGCCGAGGAGTTTGCTTGCTACTTATAACCCTTCCTTTAAACCCATAAAGCCAGAGTAGGCAAACCAGCCTTCCAAAGACCCCGACGTCCTGAACCCGGCGCCCGATACCCTCAAGCCCTGCACGCACAAGCTACACACTCACACACTTACATACATATGTACATACGTACACACACACACACAAACACACACACACACACACATCCGGGCCCCGGGCGAGGTGCCGACACTAAGGCACGATCGAGGGCAGCTCGCAAAGACTCGGAGAAGTCCTGCAGGCGGGGGATATGTGTGGGTTTAGGGCGTTTAGGGGGTTTAGGATCCATTGGCTGAAGCCCTTGAGGGCTTGAGGATAAGGACTTGACCTTGGGTTCAGGGTGGCACTTCCAGAAACTACGACTTTCAGCTAAAGAAGTTCAGACTGTGTCTCAAAGAATAGCGAGCGCTATATCAACCCCTCAATGCCAACAAATCTCACCCCCACGCCCTAAATACTAAACCCGAACCCTTCTCCCGCAAGTTCTCTCTTCGGACCGTGCCTCAGGTCTAAATCCCGAAAGAAAGCCCTAAATCAAACCAACAAACCCCGGAACCCCTCATCATGAATAAGAATACCCAGCGGAACCCTTATGAGAACCGGTTTCATCAATAAAAAAACTTTACCCTAAACCTGCACAAAAAGGCGCCAAACACCCGTGACAGCACCCATGCCTTCGGCCACGCGATGCCCAAGCGCCGGGCATGCTGCCAGAGACGAGTGAAGTACGGCCTCTGCTGTCTAAACGACTTAGTCTCTTTGGGGCTTCAGGCTGTTTATTCAGAGGTTCGGTAAGGATTTAGGGTTCAAGTTCAGGGTTTAGGGGTTCAAGGGCCTATTGGATTTAGGAGTTCAGTGTTCCTCAGGGGTTTGGCGGCTTCTCGTCTGAAGTTGATCAGGGCTTGGAGGGTCTCGGCTTTCGGGCTTTTGCGCGAGAGGCCGAGACTTCAGGACTTTAGGCTTTGGGCCCCATAGTATTTCCTTTTTGGGGTTCATATTTAGATTCCTATAAGGTAATCCCAAGAAGGAGTTACTTTGGGGCCTATGGGTAGGCTTTGGGCCTTCTGCGCTACAGAAGTTGTAGACTGATGAAGGTGGGAAAGGCAGGTCACAATGCAGGCTTTGTCTGATAATTGCGCCTGTTGCAACTCATTACCCCTCGCGGTTACAACTCATGACCCTTCCAAGCGAGCGTTTGATCGCAGTGCTCGCTTCTTCAATAGTGTCGAGCCGGAGTCCTCAGAAAGCTCCAACGTGTCTGTACATGTATGTGTACATGCTGATTTACTACGAACCTACCCAACCAATAAATATGTCTGTCGAAATTCTTTCAGCGTTTGGGTTGAGATCGGGTGTGACCACCCACTTCTTGTCTCCATCACACCTCAAGATCACTCGTCGATGGTGGAGCCGGGTTGTCCTCGAAGACCAAGCATTGCAGAACACTCTCGTCAGAAATGACTCAGAGCGGTGGTGGAGAAATGAAGCAACCCCAGCATGAGCCTGGGACTTCTCGCGACCATGCGCGACTTCCTCAAGGTCCACGACAAGTCAACAAGTCCAGGTATGCTCCTCGTTTGAAAGTGGCTACGAGGTCTGTGCGTGATAGCAGCAGCTGCGTTTCGCGTCACATCAAACAGGGAGATGTGGTCGGAAGGCAAAGAAGGAGCCACCTGGCAGCCAAATGGAAGTTTCCGAAAATAGGAGACCCTAATATAGTACCCTCAATAGTAGGATCCTTTATTTTATATAGAAGGACCTCAAAATCAGGTGCCCCTAATTTCCGAAACTCCCAGATAGATCTGGCGAAAGTGGCCCCACAGGCGGGTCGGTTCCAAGGGCTCCTCCGCCTTTCGCGAAACGGAGCCCGGCATGTCCCCGGGCACGGAAGCTTCGCCGCGCGCTAGGTTTTTTAGGATTTCGGGTCTTAGGGTTTAGGGTGGGGTACAGCCTTTGGGACCTCTATGGAAGTAAACCACAGAACCGGATCTCCACCAAATTTGATATACTTAAAGGACCCCGAACAAGGGACTTAGATCTTACAATATTTTATAAGAACTCAGAGAGAACCCGCCCAGAATCCTTTAGACACACACTTGCCCCTTACCCCTAAACTCTACCACCCTAAACCCCAAAATCACCCTACTCCGCAAACCCTCAACCCTGTTGTCGAACACTTATAGCGACCCAAGGCCCATAATATGGGGGCCTTGATAGTTATACTAAGGAACCTCCAACATAGTATGCCCCTATGCTATAACTACAATCAGGAACCCCAAAGGTCGTATGGGTAACTGTCGTTGAATTAGGCCCCTACACTACCTCCTTCTAATAGCCCGTATAGACCCCTTTTAAAGGAACCCGAGGCCCCTTTCTAGTATTGGATCTCAACTCCAACGCCCGGGCACCGCGGGGATGCAAAGCGTCCCTGGCCATCCCAGGGAAGCCTCGTAGTCTGCTTTGGTTTCATCGGTTTAGGGTTTAGGGTTTGGGGGTTTAGGGTTTTGGGGTTTAGGGTTTTGGGGTTTTGGGGTTTAAGGTTTTGGGGTTTAGGGTTTGGGGTTTTGGGGTTTTGGGGTTTAAGGTTTTGGGGTTCAGGGTTTTGGGGTTCAGGGTTTTGGGGTTTAGGGTTTTGGGGTTTAGGGTTTAGGGTTTTGGGTTTTGGGGTTTAGGGTTTAGGGGTTTAGGGTTTTGGGGTTTAGGGTTTTGGGGTTTAGGGTTTTGGGGTTTAGGGATTTGGGGTTTAGGGCCATGTCTCTTTTAAACTTTAGGGGTTTAGGGTTTCTATACTTATAACCCCAATTAAGGTATACTTGTACCTAAACTTTAGGGGTTTAGGGTTTGGGTTTTTTCTTTAAAGTTGAGTTGACTTTTACGTCTGCCTACAGTCGGCTCTCAACTACATCCATAACGGCCCTAGGGTTTAGGGTTTACAGGGTTTATGGCATTATAGGGTTTAGGGTTTAAGAAGTTTATAGGATTGTAAACGGCTTTCATGTTCCTGGAAGTTTATGGTTTGTGAAGTTTATAGGGTTTATATGTGTCTTTTAGGGGCTTTGGGCTTGGGGTTTATAGGGTTTGGGGTTCAAGAAGTTTATAGGGTTGTACAAGGGTTCTGTAGAGTTATATATATATATATGGGTTCTGTCAGGGTTCGAAGTAAGGATTTCTATGAATGTTCTGCTCTGGGTTATGGGGCTGTAGGCTTTTGCGCATAGGTGGTTTGTAGCGGATTTACGGCAGAAGGCATTGGTTCCGGGCTCAGAAGGGATGATAAAGAATCGGGGTTCAGGCTCTGATGCTTCAGTGCCGCAGTCGGCCTGCAGGCCTTTATAGTTCTACCTTAACCCGAAATAACCTACCTTTTTAAGGACTCGTTTAAGGATTTCATCATAAGGAACCCTAATAAAGAGAAGTTATTCAGGGTTAAGGTAGGGCTTACGGCCAATAGGGTCTGTAGCACCTACAGGAGCTACGGGCTGCACCTGTAAGCAGAAAAACTAAACTTCTTGCTCAGAATGCTTCTCGTATACCACTCTCGCCTGTAAAAGACTCAAACACATCCGATGAGGGTGGAGTACGATTGATAGAGTCTGATTCTGATAGAAGGGTTTGGCTACGACAAGACTCTCCTGTTTCACCCTGCCAAGCTCACAGCCATCCCTGAAGATAAAGACATCTGGTTCCGCTCACCCAGACATCACTGGCTGGGAACAAGTGGTACTCACAGCTTGCGATGCCCCGAACGCCAAACTCTCCAACCTTTGAGCATGCATTTGCTTGCTGGTAGAAGCTGATCGACGGCCTGCCCTCAGCCAAACCTAAAACCTGTGTGGCTTCACGGTATGAGGCTCAGCTCTGGTCTCGTGCCCATGCACGTAGTCAGTTGAGTAAGGGTCTAGAGGTAGCTTGCTTCTGTTAACATGTAGCATGTAAGGATCAAAAGTGCTTATCCCCGCATGGTTTGCTTGCCACATACAAAACACCCACACTCCAAACCCTGAATGGCTTTATTAACAGCGCAAGCACTTCTGAAACCCGAAACCGCGAATACATCATAAACTGAAACTCGAATCTACGAGAGGTCTACTTGCCACCCGTGCCACGTGGTAAACGCAAGCTTCTCGGCTTCCGCAGCCGGTGATGCCATGGCCCAAAAGTGGGCTGTAAGACCCTCTCTAGAGTAGGGCTGAGGTTTAGCGGTTTGGGGCTCAGGATGTCTTAGGATTCAGAGGTTTGGGGCTTACAGGGGTTTGCAATCCAGGGGTTCAGGGTTTAGGTCTTCCGTCTACCTCGAAGGTATGGCCTTGGCTGAAGACTCACATAGCATGCACAGGAAGGTTTCGTGTCCATAAGGGTTTTTAGCTTCAAGGTGTAGGGGTTCGGGGTTTTAATGTGCGGGAACCGCAGGCTACAGGGCTTGGGCTTAGGTCTGCAGTTATGCGCTGGTGAGTTGGGGACTGCGGTTTTAGGTCCACGCTGGTGCTCTTGAAGCCCAAGCACTGCAAACCGCGAGAGTGAAGCTCAGAGAGTCTTCAGTCTGACGGGCTCGGATGGGGCCGCAGATGCTCGCAGAATCCCACAGAAGCCGCTTAGATGTAGGAACCTGGTTAAGAAACCTTGGGCCTTTACTCGGGATCCTCATACGAATCCTACTAAATTGGGATTATAGGCACTGGGTTTCTTAATCAAGTTCCTACATTAGATGTTGGTTGTTCCAGGAGGTGGGGGCCTCCACTTATGACTTGCCTTGTTTGATGCACATGGGTAGTTTTCGACATTAGGGTCCGATGTTAAGTGCCCAGACTAGTACGGCACCCTGATAAGCGGGACCCTAAACGTCACCCGAATATAGAGAACTACCCGCATGCGTGGAGGAGCCGACTTGGGGCCGCAGGATCGGAGTATCACCCCGGATCTGCCTTCATGGTGAATCCGAGGCGCCCATGTTGCAAATAGTATTTACATACATTGCCCCCGAAGTACTTATGTGGGAACTCCGTTCAAGGCAGACATTTATATGTACTATAATGCGTTTCTGTATATACATATACACATATGTGTATAAGTGTATGTGCATAGACATATGATGCATATGTATACACAAGAAAGAATGGATGCATGTATGTCTATACAGATAGATAGGGGGATAGAAGGATAGGTAGATAGAAAGAAAGATAGACACAAGGCGTGGACATGTTACGTACAGGAGCCCTTAGGGAGCCCTACCCATAAGTACCTGCCTATACTAAGGGCTTGATAAGGCCTATCAAAGGAAGTATAGTCCCTTACCCTCCCCTTCCCCTCTGCCCCCCTAAGGGTCCCTATGCCCTATTAATCCCCAACCTGAAAGCCCAAGATACGTCAGCTCTTGAGCCCCAGCAAGTAGACTGAAGAAGGCAATAGATGGGGCTCATAAGGGGTGTAGGGTTTAGTGTTTAGGTTTAGGGTTTAGGGTTTCAGGGGTTCAACAGCCGCACAAAGGAGTCAACCGTGCATACAGCCCCAAATCCCTCAACGACTCACATAACCATGAGCACTGAAGCCCGGAGCACGCTGAAAGAACGGCAACCAACTGATCCAGCATGCAACCCTCGGCCGCACACGCGGCACAGACCACCTGAAACAACACAGCGCCGTTGCCATGTATGTAAACGCCTCGGATCCACCCTGCTGACGCCTAGGCCCGAACACCCTTCAGACATCCTCCCTGAAGGGTTTATAATTAGGGTTTAGTGGTTCAGGTTTAAGCCGGTGTACACAGTCTGAACTGTCATGCCTTTCCGATGAATTATGAACATTGCTCAGAGAAGGGGATTCTTGCAGCCCCCAGCCACCCGTGAGTACTGTAAATCTTAGTGAGTCTGCCCTTAAGCCGCGAAGCCCAAACCAAGCCTATCACAAAAACAACTCGTGCATGTCAAACGGCGGACCTCATGAAGTTGCTGCTGCAGCTGCTGTTCGTCCACAGCCTGGCGCCTGGTGGCCCGTCAATCAGGCAAGTCGTGTACGGAAAACTGATAAGTATGTTATTGTAGGAACTGTTATAAGATATCATGGTGCATAAAAGCACGTAACAGTAGAGCACACCATTGCAGATTGTCGTCAAATTACCGTATATACCAGTAACTGGTACGAACTAGTATGTTATGGTATAGTCTTGCATGCTGGAGTACATCTTTACATGACAACGTGCTCTAGCGGTTAAGAGTTTACGCTCAGGGGGTCTTGAGGATGAGGGCATCAGGTCTAGGGTTCAGCAAACCAAGCAAAAATAAACAGAGTTTAGCATAATATGTATACTGTCATAGTAGGTGAGACAGTTATCACTATCTATATATATATATATGTTAAAAAACTGTTACAACGAAGAACTCATATGTTTAGGGCTATAGGCCCGTGGACAGAACCGAAATCGGAACCTGTCAAAGCAGTGCCCTGTTACTACGGACTGTTTAAAGTTTAATGCATGTTTGTAGTGACACCACCTCCCAGTCCTCTTGTTGGTTTGGGAGGGCGTCAGGCCAATCATGTTAAGTATATAACCGCACGACCAAAAAAAGTTTAGAGAAGCTAAAGCGGTCTTCCTGCAAGCAAACCAACAACATGTTTATATATGTGATTAAGAATGTGTGTGTGTGTGTGTAAGTGTATATATATAGATATATACACACACATGTGGCTTTATGTGCGTAGATGATACTTACGAATCACACACCCCTTATATCTACATGTACATGCACAAACGTATCCGTACGTGCATACCCACACTAACATGTTATGTTGATGTGACAACACACCTCAGCATACTCGAACACAGTAGACTGCGAGACTGAGAAGAAGTAGGCGAAGCGTACTAGAAGCTATCAGAAGTATATAGTAGAATAAGAAAAACTGAAATGCCGACGAGAACAACAACAAGAGTGATCGCAGTAGGTTATATTCATAATCAACGTAGTTTTGTTAACAATTTCTAACTCGGGCATGAGCATGATACCAAGGTTCAATAGACATAGAGTCAACAGTAGCTATTACTATGTCCATACCTCATACATGCCATGACACTACATGACATCACTTTGTTTGTACTGCATGCCATAGCTTGGAATGGCATGCCTTGGCATGGCCGGACAGGGCCCTCCCTTGCTCTGTATTGCACGTGTGTGTGTGTGTGTGTGTACAGCTACATATATGTACACATGTATGTAAAGGTATATGCATATGCTTATGCATATGCATAGGCATGCATGACTGTATGTATGTACATAAAACGTAATACGTAAACACACACACACACACTCACAGACGCCGAAAGACAGATCCCTCCATCGGACATCTGAAGCCCTCGGCCCACCTCTTCGTCACCCCTTGCGCGCCCCAGAGGCCGCAAACAGCCTCCTGCTAATGGTGGCTCCAAAAGCCCAAACCAGAAACCTAAAACCCTGAACATGTAAGGCTGTGGGTTCAGGGCTACGGATTCGGCGCGCAGTCCCAAGCCCTGAAGCAGTATCAGTAAAGTACTCGATTTAGCATAAACCCTAACCCTAACTTATACGGTAAGATGTTTCCGGCCATATAGACTGGTCTAGGGTTTAGGGCCTGCCCGAAATTCACTCCCCGGAAATTGAGTTCAGTAGTCGGGGCTGGAGAACGCGAACCAGCCTTGAACTATTGAACTGAAATTTCCTTCAGAGTGTAGGGGTTTAGGCCTGAGGATTTAAGAGCTACTTCAGGGTTTGGGGGGGTTTGGGGTTTAGGGGGCAAATCTTGCTCTGACTGTCAGAATTGATCGTTCGGGCTTTTAACGTCGAACTAGAACTCTTCGAATTACGTGCTCCCGTTTCCCTGATGTAGGGTCTACGCCGACATGAGTGGATCACGATGAGTCCTCTTATGCGAAATGAGCCCTGTCATTACAAAACCGCTAGGCCCGAAACCCTAAAACCCCTTAACTCCTGAACTGTAGTTCTTGAAACCATGTAATCAGAAGCACACAACTCAACTTCTAAGACTTGAACATAAACCCTGCATCCTAACCCCTAAAACACTGCACCCTAGTCTTGCACCATCCCCTGTGCCTGCGGCCGGCGGATACCCAGACCTCGGATGGAGAATTCTGCCAACGCTGTTCCAACCCATTGAGCATTGCCTTTTATCAAAGACCTTTTGGTCACGTGCTCTCCCCAACCCTTTAAGTTCCTACAAGTTCCTACCTCTTGTGGGGTTTAGGCATCTTGGGGCAAGTGGGGTTCCGATTCGAGGCTGCAGTCCTTCACAATTTGAGATTGCGGTCTCCCCCAGAAGCTACTGCCACAGAATGATTGCACAATATTGACCACCAGTGGCCGCAGAATACAGAGCTGTGAATCATGAAGGACATATTCTTCCCTTATGTATTTCTCTGTAATATCCCCCTCAGACTCTTCGAGATTTCTGCCCAACTGAAGGAACAAATGCAATGCAAAGGCCTGTTGCCGGTGCTGCAAGTAGGAGGAGCAAGCAATCACCATTCATGCCCTTTCTTGACCTCCCATGGGGCACAAAACAGCTTAATTTGACTCAGCCGAATACCGTAGGCTTTCGGTGCCCTTTCTTGACCTCCCATGGGGCACAAAACAGCTTAATTTGACTCAGCCGAATACCGCAGGCTTTCGGGGCGTAGTCTAGTATTCGTAGAGTAGTTAGAGAAGTCCACTATAATTCGCCTCGGCCCCGGCCGAAGCGGTCAGAGGTTCCTATTCGGATTCTCCTATTCCCCACCTCTTAATCCTCTCCCCAGTGACCCCACCCCCAAAAACGGGGCCCCCTGACCACCCCTTTAAAATGGAAACGTGTCGACTAGCCCCAATCTCGCCCCCTCCAACGGATTGTGGCAGTCTGTAGGCAGCCCCTCCTCCCCCCCCTCCCCCCCCCCCCTTCCCCCTTCCCTCCCGCCCCTCCTCCGCTCGCTGACAGGTGCGAGCTTTCTGGAGTTTTCGACGACACGGGACTGCAATGTAGTTATGTCTCAGGCTTGTTTTAGACGCCCTTTCGTTGGGATAGGCGGAGTAACGTGGTTGAAAAGGGTCTGATGCTTCCCTAATCCAAGACGCCCACGAAATCCACAGCCTCAACGGCCCATACTTAAGGCATCCCGCCGCTTGCGAGAGT